AATGAAAAAAAATTGGGACAGAGCAACGATAAAACGGTCACAATAATCGTAGCGATTTAAGTATATACGTATATTAGTCGAAGTTGTTCAAGGCAATCGACTCGTTTAGATAAGAGAACTCGAACAAAGCAATCAAATGCAAGTACATGTTGTTGACAACTGTAATATCAGGAAAAATGATATTAACTTCACAAATTTAAAATGTTACAATCAAGTATTAAATTTTATAAATCAAAATGATATAAGATTAATTTTATTAATCTATTTTAAACTTTGTGTTATTTTTTTTTTCTTTTTTATTGTTTTCACTCCATCATTTAAAAATAATCAATTGCAGTTTTTTTTTATCATTAGACTGAAGATGCTTATGTAAATTTTATATTATTTTAACTAAAGAAATAAAATCCTCTGGTGATTAAAAATTATAACGAATATTTTAAACAATCTTTTCTTTTACTTTTATATACATTTTCATATCATGAGTATTCATTATTAAATATTATTTATAATAATATACTTTGTATTTTTTTATTTTATATCTTTGTATTCCACACATATTTGCACACATTTAAATTTTTCAAAAATGCATAAACATCGACAGTCTTACTCTCATCCATCAAACTAATTTCATCTCGCGATCACTATTGCTTTAACAACGCTACAATATATATATATATATCAACCTCTCCCAACTCCTCGACCCACGTTCGGTTTGCCGGAAATTTTTCGCGAAACTTTAAAGATGGAAAAAATTTATAATTTACAATTTGCAATTCGATCGATCCCTGATATCTTCTCTTCGATCAAAGAATGACGTAACTGATAAACTTTACACTATAAATCGTTGAACTATTACGTCTTAATAATGGAATTACGAAACTCGCGATTGATCATCGTCACGGACAAGAAGAGAAATACGAAGGGAGTACGCGATGGAAAGAGAAGAAATGCGTTACGAAGCGAACTTCGCCGCAAAACGCTTCGTACTGGCGGACCTCTTATCATCCTCTGCCCGCCTTACCTGACAACGTTTGCAGGTAACACCCATGCGAGTACACCGTCCATACGAATAAACATCATCGTTCACAACTATATATTTGTACGAGTATACGTTCACACAAGAGCAAATTGAGCACGCTTGATCACATATCTGAGGAGAACAATGCGGCGAATATGTGTTTGTCACTGAGTATTATATTTTATTGTTGTACGGAAGAGAAAGAGTTATCTCTTTTCTTTTTGTCTGCTCTTCTAATTCCGATGCGTGGAACACACATCGGTGTGTTATGATCAATTCTGTGTGATTCGTGTATAATTTCGGCCAGTAATCAAGTCGATTATTTGAAATTCTGATTTAATAAAAAAAAAAAAAAAGAATTGGAATATCTCATGAATAGTTTTCAATCGTTGAATCTTATCTACTTTGATTTTCATTATGTTTTTGTAATGTACTATTATTTTCAATCGTTCAAAAACGTTTAAGAAACATATGATTATTATTTAATGATATTTTAATGTAATTATAAATTATAATTAAAAGTTATAACAAAAATAAATTGATCAAGTTATAAATTTAAGAAGTTAATATATAATAATAAGTATTTCATTATACAAAAATATATAAAAGTAAAAAAATATATTATTTTATTCTGCTGGCTTTATTGCAGAGTATGTGATTTATAAGAAAGAACAATGAAAGAATGATAAATAAAAATCTGATAGATACAATTACAAGAAATTTCAAGTCATTTTTCATAGAATAAATGGAATCAATTTTGTTAAAAAAAAATAAAAACATTCAATGGTAATAGGCAAATTTATAAGATATATATATATTTATAAGAAATATAAATTTAAAATTTATATACAATGTTTCAAAATCAAATGATTTTTTTGATGATTGAAAAGAGAAACGTTTCATGCAATTAGTGAAAAAAAACGCATCTTTTAATTAATGGCTCTGTTTGCATAGAAAATCAGTGGTTCATTAAAATTAATTAAACATATTTATTGCATCGATTAATACTTACAACAAAATGAAAAATTGGAAGATTAATATTTCACAAGAGAGAAATTATAAAAATATTTTCACTTTACATCTGTTAATAATAATTGACTTTAAGAATTAATTATTCTTTATCAAGATACTTTTATCAAGATAAAATGTTTTAAGAGTGTTGCAAGATTTTTCCACTACAAAATATTTTATCTACAAATTGGATAATAAAATAAGTGAACAAAATACATGCTATATTTGGAATTTTGATCAGAAATTGACTTCCGAAATGAAGATTAGAGAGTAATATATATTCGATAAAAGTATTTTCAACTCTCTATAATATCATGTCATTTAAACGTTAATTATGCATTACTATATCTATAAGTATTTTTTATAGTTTTATTAATCTTATCAATAATAAAAGCAATGTATTTATAAATATTATTAATTCTTTTTTAATTTCTTTTTTTTTTATATTCTTTTTTAATCAGAGTGAAAAAAATGTTATTAATAGCGTAGTAATTTTTTTTTCGTTACAAAAAATAATTCATTAATATAGAATTAAAAAAAAAAGTAGAATATAAAATATAATAGGTAAAAAGTATAAAAAAGTCATAGTAAAAAAGATTAAAAAATATAAACATATTAAAAATAAGATCTTGAACCGATAGATCAGATAGAAGAGAAAATATAAAAAATAGAACTTTAATATACTTGATTATAAGAAAAAGAAAAAATAAAATCTTTAGGATGAAAATGAAAAAATTAATAATAATAAATATAAAAAAACATTTTAATTAAAAAAAAAAATTTATAGGAATAAATTTCAACAAAGAAAAATTCATAAAGAAAATAAAACTTTGATGAAACTATTTGAATAAATCTGGAATCTTCGTGTATAAATATCTCATGATTTTTTATAATTTCAAAAAAATTATATTGACGGTTCTTTTTTAAGAAAAAAACTAAACTTTCTATTGAGATAGAAATTTTTTTACAAAAAGAAGAATTTTAAAAAATGGAATAATTATTTAGAAATGATCGAAAATCAAAATAGCTAATGTATTTGCAATTTCGTAGAACGACTCTATAAATTTCTAGTTTCACGAAGGTTGAGCATATACGATCTCTTTGTAACGTGTAATGAATGACAAAAACATCGTCATTATGGTACTCGTGATTAGCAACGATCAACACTGTGATCCAATAATCATTTCCGTTTCAAATTACATTTTCGCAAAAACATTACATTGAAATACAAATGAAAAATTAAATCGAATCTTGCTTTATTATATTCTTGCTTTTTGTTTTATTTTTATTTTATTCGCAATCTTCTTTTTTCGTTCATCAAAAAAGAATTCAACTTTTTGTAGTATTGCGCAATTTTTCATAAATGTTACGATATCACATTTATAACAGAAATTTATAACAGTAAGAATTATCGATCGAAGATCGAAAGTGAAAATTAATTTAAATATTATTAAATAAGAAGATTTCCCATGGAAATCTTTCAAATCTTCTTTTTAATCTTTTTTAATTTTCTTATTATTAATTGTTTTGAACAATTAATAATGTTAATAATCTTTTTTAGAAAAAATCTTATTTAGAAATTTTTAGAAACATCTAATAAAAAAATAATTTGTGCAATTGGTATAATGCAATAAATAATTTTTTAATTTTTTATATATTCTATTGTAAAACATCAACGTTATAAATTCGTTCCAAGAATCGATTTCCAAGAACCTGTAAATTTCTGTTTACATTTTTAACGCTTATATCTTATCAATTCCAGGACAGTATTAAATGATTCATTACCTTGTTAAAGTGAATCTCAATGAAAAATTTAAAAAAATAAAATAGCAATTTCGTATATCGTAATTTATTATTCTAAATAATTCTAAATGATTGTCGGGCTATTATTATTAATTCATCGTTAATTTTATTGGCACGATTAATGTTTGCTAATAATTCAACAGTCTATTTGCACTTCTAAATTTCATGGTCAATTAGTACAAAGCGTAGATAAATCTTTTAGTTATTTCAAGTGATGCAATAATTTGTAAAGTATCGAATTTCGATATAAAAAATTCGGAAGTTTATCGACTTGAAATTTACATTTAAACATTTATTATTACAATTTATATAATATGGATTTATAAATATTTGAAATCTTTTTGTTTGAATTTAAATTTATATTTTTTTTTAAATTTTAAAGAAAAGTTTCAATATTGGAAACAATATATTAATTTATTTTTATAATTATACTTTTTGTTTGCAAATAATCATAAAAAAATATTAACTTTTTTTATCTTTTTTATAATTGAATCGAATTTTAGTTTTATTTATCTTCATAAAAAGATATAGTGAAATTATTATAAGTATATTTTCATGTTTTTACAAAGAAGTGATAATATAAAGAAATAATCGTTAATTGCATTATTTTATATTTCTAAGTTAAAATTGGACGAAATGAAATAATTTAAAAATATAATTAATAATAATATTTAAAAATATAATTAATAAAACTATAATTCATATTAACGCTTAAAATTACCGTTCATTGGTCCTATATATTTATCATATACGCTGTGATCTGTTAGAATCGTGAGGCTATTTAAGCAAATTAACCCTCTTATATATACACCCCTAAGGGATTGACACACAACTCTTTGTACGTCATTCTATTAGAGACACTTCTATGTGCTCGTTGGACAATTGGGAATCAATAGGAGAGGAATAAAACTACACCTGTCGACCATTGAATGTTTTAAGCGGCAAAGATCACGAACACTTGTGCATGCGGAACTTGAGCTATGTCTCGTATAAATTATAGATTCTGATCGATTTCCGAATTACAAATTGCACAATAGAAAAATAACAAATTGTTCAACTCACACGATTCGTAACTTAATATACCGATAAGATGAATTGTGAATTAAGTAAATAACAAATATTATTTGTCAAACGAAATTATCAGTGAAAACAAACGATATAATACGAAGCAAAGAGCGTAGACAACGCCTCTGCTGCCATCGCGTACCACCCGCTCTGTGTGCAAAATATCGACTGACTGAGGGTTGGTACACGATCGTGTACAGTCTACTAGGGGTTCCTACGATAACAATTCAACAGTACATAGGGAATTTCGAATTGACACGAAGCGGAAGTGAAAAAAAAAAAAAACAGAAAAGAAGAAAGATAAAAAAAAAGGTGTGCACATTTTTGTGATAATAGAGATGCTGCAAATGATAATGCAATCGTTCAGATTTATGAGATATCGATATATTGTTATTATTAATATAAAATATTGAATTTCATGTCTATTATTTAAATTTTTTTTAAATTTTAAATAAAATGAAAATTGTAACCAGAAAAAAAGAAAATGATAATAATAATAATAATAACAATGATGCTAATCAATATAGATAGATATTGACAAATCTTGGATTAATTGATTCATTAAATTGAATCAGAAAATATGTTAAAGTATATGTTAAATAATTGATAATTTTTGATTAAAGAATAATTTCATTAAAAATAAATAAAATGGAATAAATAAAAATATTCGAATTATTATTTATATCTTTCAGTTTCCATATTTATTGTTTTGTTATGAATTCACACTAATTTATAATTATATAATAATCTAATAACAATTTATAAAATTGTTAAAAGAATGAAAATAGATATTCATATTTAAGATATATAGATATAATAAGATTATATAGATATAATATTCTTTGTGTTTACCTATATTTTGAATTAATCACGTTATATTATATATTACATAATCTTGTAATATATAATGTATCATGTAATACATGTATCTAATAAATATTTGATTGGCACAATTATAATTTAAAATTATAAATTAAAATCTTAAATTAAATTAAAATTATTAAAATTAAGAAACAGATAATCATTGATATACAAGTTACTAAAATGAGTAAAAATGAATATAACAAAATTCATAGATATATGAAATAATCATTTTTACTAATATTATTTTACAATTACAAATTCAAATTCGTTTCAATATTAGTTCCAGAATAAAAGCGGCACAAAGCAATTTTGACAATCATTAATCATATTTCTATATTAATATCATTTTAACAACATGATATAAATATTATATAATTGTATAATTATAAATATATAAATAATAATAAATATTTACCTGATTTTATAGATATATCCATTTTTTTAATTTCTCCATATAAAATAACAGCTAACCAAGATAGTGCTATCAGCCAAAAGGTAATTAAAACACCTGCCATCCATAATGATATGATTCTCACATCAGACTTGCTACATCCACAAGAATCGGTCTGTTTCATTTTAATTGTGCCACTTAGTCTATGTTTTCTATAATACAATATAAATTTTTTAAATAATTTAGATATTCTTAAATACTTTAAAATTTAAACTTAATTAAAATTTTAAATAATTTTAAAAATGCGTTCTTTTTCTTTTACCGTTTTATTTTTTTCTTCTTGGGTGTGAGATCCAAATCTGATACATCGGAATCAGTGTCTGATAACAGATCAAGTAGATTTATCGTTTCTTTGTTATTCGAATTATTCATTATGATGAAAGAATCATAGCACGGGTCATAAAGTTAAAAGACGGAATCGTATTGACGGCCAGTTTGATAACATAACCTCTTTAATTGAAATGTCAGTCATTAAAAGATCTATTTTTATTAGTGATCTATTAATATTTGATCTAATTATTTCAACTACATATTACGTAACGAAATTTAAAATTACTCATAATTTTCACATATTATTGCTTTGGTATAGCTACGACTGAAAGATTCATCCCTTTATATCTTTTATAACCTAACCTGTATTCGTGCATCCTTACATAGCATGTTCATTTCGCATATTCTGACATCTGACGGAAAAATGAATAAATAGAGAAAAATGCATTTGATGTGAACTAAAATAATTAAATTTATTCTATGAGATTAATTCTATTTTGTGAATGTTTTGTGAACGATCTGTCATTTTGACAGAATTCATGAATATTTATTAATTTAATTTTATCTCACGAACGGTGTAGTGTAGTGTATATATATATATTTATAATATAGATATAAATAATAATTAAATAAGAAAATGGTAAATATAATTATTAATTGTTATTTTAAAATGATAAAAAATTATTGATCAATTTCAATAAAATATAATTGAATTTCTATATTAAATTCTTGCAACTATTATAATAAGTTATATTTTTGTTTAATTTGCATATTTTTATATATTTTATAATATTTATATATATAAAATTAATTAAAAATTATAACTTTTATTATAATTACATTCTTTTTTAATAAAAAAAATGTTTATTTTAAATATTTCACTTCAATGCTGTTTTTAATTAATTTCAAATTTTCAATTGTTGCTTTCAATTAATGGAAAGTCCTAAAAATTTATAAATATATTATATATAATATACGATAAAATTATTTTCATTTCAAGTAAAACGAAATGAATTTAAAATAATTTATAACCTTATGCTGATGAAGAAACAATCTTAAACTGTATTTCCTTTTTTTTTATTTTTTTTTTTTTTTTTTTTAATATCCTTTCATTTGTTAAAGGTTTCAGGTTCGAAAAGTTCGTTGAAAGAATAGTCCTTCTAATGCATTAATTAACTTGCATAGCACGTTACAACGCTTTCCATTGAAGACAGTATCGCATCCGGTAGAAGTTCGGTCAAAAACAATCTACGTGGATCGCATATGACTTCGCTGCAAATTTATCAAAATTTATATTTATATCGTTAAATCAATTCACTACAATATCTAGTGAATTCAATAAATAAATCTGAGCTTTTTTTACCTGTTTAATTCTAAAAAAAAATATTTAATTAATAGGCCGATAGAATGTATTATATTTTTATTTAATTCTCCAAAATAATTAAATAAATTTAATTACAATTTTTTTAAGTATGTATGATTGAATTTTTAATAATATTTTTATATACTTTTAAATGTTTTTTCTAAGAATTTTTTCCTATGAAATTCGTTAAATGATTATTCATGAAATTAGAAATATAAAGATTCACTGATTTTTTTGACAGTTGAAGATTGCGTTGGTGTCTGAACGTTCGGTTGGCTGGATGTGACACAGCCGAATTTTAAAATTGCATCAGCTATGCCGACATCTTGCCTTCGAGGCGCCCAGTTAGAATCGTGATAATGTTCTTCTTATAAAAAAATAATTAATATAAATGAAACACTCAATCACAGTACACTTTGACAATTAAGAAATTTAATCAGAATGCAATCTCTTCTTATTTTAGAAATTTTGTTAACATTTCAATAAATTACAATCAATTTTAATATAATTTTATCATATTTTATAAAAAATTATAAAAAATATTAAAATGAATATTTACTATTACATTAAATTATTATATTATTTACTATTACATTAAATTATTAGTATTATTTTTAATTGTATTTAAATATATTACTGTTAACAATGATTAACTATTTTAAATAATTCAATTAAAAAACTAATACTCTTAAATATAGAGTACTTTCTTCAATTTTCTGTCATAATGTTGACAAATCACTCCTCTTAAAGAATTTCAAAAATCAAACCCAATATCAAAGTAAGAAATTAAAACTTACCAAAATTATTCACATTATATCTTCTCAAATCTTTACTACAATCTATAAATCTCTTCTAAAAAAAAATTAAATATCAAAATGAAATTAAAAAAAAAATTAAAACTTATCAAAAAATCTCACCTTAACAAAATAAAAGAAATAATTTTCAAACAAATAAAAACATTTTTCATTGAAGTTTAATAATTCTCATAAGTCGATCCTCCAAGATTTTAAAAGTGACATGATATAACTGTAAATAAAATTGCTGAAATAAAATTTTAATTTAATTTAGTAATTGATTAAATGAATTATCGATTGAATTTATTTATCTGAACATGAATTCCTCTTACTTGGATTAAAAATCATAGCGGAAAATATCAATGAACTATTACATGAATACACCAGTTATACGAATTGATTGGTTCCCAAACAAGTTTAGATAAATGGAGTTCCTACTGTACAGTAAATCGACGCGTGATTCAAAAGAGACACCTGCATGAGACTGGAGGCACGCCAAATAACTGATAGCGTAGGCGTCGTGACTTCGAAGACGATGTCGAATGATCTAACGTTCGAGAGGGGATGAAGTTTCCCTGTACTTCTTACTCCATTGGTCGGGAACCGATTCTACGATTCGTGTATTCCTTCTCTCCGTCTCCTGTTCTTCCCGATCGTTCTATTGCCGGTATTAACGAGTTACCACCTTCCGGTCGAGCAGGCGTTAACGAAGATCTTTTCAACAAGCACAGCTGCGAATTTTTGCATCAATTGTTTGTTCTTTCCTCATTCGATGAGTCCTGGTTTAGAAAAGAAACCAAAATGATGCAGAAGCAAAGAATTTCGACCTCTTATGATATATTTCATGCTATTGTCACGTTTATTATTTGTCTCGAAAGATTTATTTCTTTAAAAATTTCATTATTTTAACTTATACAACTCTCATTTATTATAGAACTTATATAGGTATATATTATTTATGAAAAAGTAGTTAGAAAGATTTGTTTTAAATTTTGTAATTTTTATTTGCATTCCGTATACAACCACATTATTATTGTACATATTGTAAAAATATGTATCGATTCAGATCGAAAAATGAGGGAATGAATTAATTGAAAAGGATACTCGATACTTTTAATGTAACAATTTATTTGCTTCAAAATTATATGCTTTGTCAAACATTTATGTTATATTATATATATATATTTTTATCTTGAAATAAAGTTAATAATTGTTATTAGACTTCTTATTCTATATTTATTTCTGATTAAAATAAAATTAAGATTAAAATTATTGAAATATTGAGATTAATAAATATTGGAGATTTGAAAAAAGAATATTATTGAAGAATATAATAGATAATAGATAATAAATAAAACTAAATGCATCAATAAACGCAATTTTTCAAAATCTCTTTACCAAAATCTAAATTTCTTTTATCTAAGAATATTCTTCCATTTTAAAACTTACAATTGAAATTAATATAAAAATACTTGGCAAACAACATTGAAACTAATAATTACCGATAAATGCTAATAATTTTCAAACAATTCAAAAATCCTTGAGCAAAAGCAATATTTACTTACTATTAAATTAAACATTATTCCTCTACAACGAACAATGCCCTTCCATCCAAGAATTGCGATAGAAATTGCAACAAACTCGCGTAACCAACCGGAAGTACGTCCGAAAAGCGGGAGCGGATACCTTTAAAAAGGATGAAAATGTGTTCACAAGTATAGAAAGCATTCGATGGGTTGGAAGTGTTCGATCGCGAGCGGAGGATCTCCCGGGTCTTCGTGACTTCCGGTTCTGGACGACGCGCGTGTGCCAGCGGCGATGACCGGATATGGCGAAGAACCGACTGACCAAATCGTTCGTTCGGCGAGTCCACCGCTTCGTCTACAACGAGCTTTTCATGCGAATCACGCGTTCCCCTGTACCAAATACCAAGCTCGTATCGGTGACATCATACTCTTGCGTTGTATACCCGCGTGCACAGGTGAACGTGTGCCCGAGTATACAGTTGGATGAGAAGATGTCGTTGCTCATAGCAAGAATCAATTTTCTTTCTTACTTCTTCTTAATTTTAATGATGATTAGGAAAGATGTTCAATCTGTATGATAAAAAAATGACATTGTGTTATTCCTTGATTTTTTCTTATTACGATTAGTTTATTATTTTTGTATATTTTTACTCGTTTTCATTTTTTTTTTTTTTCACAGAAGAAAGCATGCGATGTGATTATGATTGATAAATCTTGTTGTTATCACCTCAAAGTTTGTCTTCTCAAGTTTTTTATGGATACGCGTTATGATTATATGTATTTACACGTATCATTTATATATGGATATTTATATGTTTATTTGTTATTATATAAATATTATATACGTATAATTATACTTTTTTTTATATCGTTTTTTTTACCTCTATATGATTTAGATTCAACTAATATATATTTTTTTTTCTTTTAAATTAGATCTCTGTTTTTAAAATTTTCAATAATAATTTTTATTGAATAATGTATTAGCTTTTATACAATTTAGAAAAAACTTTTTGATGATTCTAATCTAAAAAAATTGTTTAACGACTTTAAAATAAACAAGATATAGAATTATAAATTATAAATATTTGTTGTACAAGAAAAAAGTAAAAATCGATATAATTTTATAAAAAACATTATTTTTATTTTTATTAATGAATTCTCAATCTGGAAGAGAATGACTATAAAAATAAAGTATTTAACATGATAACATGATAAAACGAATAAAACGATAAAAGATTGATAATATTGCATAAAAATAAAAATTATAAATATTAATTATCAATATTACGCAATTCAATGATCCACGATGAAATTAAAATAATAAATCTAAATGAATCTTTCGTTTCCTCAATTTTCACTTCCCAAACGACAATAGCAATAAAAAAAAAATAAAGAAAAATTAAACAATATTCAACATTAATGGAGAATCAAAATAGAGATTCCAAATAATTTAATTTTTAATTTTAATAGAAGATTGCAAAAAAAAGCTAAGTTTCGAGATTCGAAGGAAAAAGAAAGAAAAATCCAAAAAAATATTCGCGGAAAAAGTCATAGTAGGATTCAGTGATTCGTGGCCCATCGAGAATTTCTTTCTGTTCCTCTGTTCGTCACAATATTCACATGACAAAGTTCGAAGTGTAGAGGAGAAAAAAAAAAATCGAGAGAAGAATAGTTAATCGGTAAACAAATCACGTACTTGTGGATGCATATATAAGACCATAGAACGTTGTGTACTTACACGACGAGCGAAAGGAACGCACGAATGCTGCGTATGTCCATACCTTTCATCTGATTCTGGATATTCGGATGTTTAATTTTGATTTATTAGAAAAATGAATAAATATATTTTGTACATTTATCAATAGAAAAAGAAATGATTTATGTTAAATAATTTATATTTATTTTAAAGAAAAAAACTATGTACTGTTTAGGATTGAAAGATTGAAATAGAATAAAATATATTCATTTCGAATTACAATGAAATAATTCATTTGTTATTTAATATAATGATAATGGATTTTAAGAGATTTCGAATAAAATGTAAAATTGCACATTTCTCTTTTCTGTTTTTTGCAAACGCAATTTCAATATTATGAGGTATTATGAGGTTACGTTAATAAGTAAATAATTGTCATATTAAAATTGATTATAATATTATATTATTATAATTGATTGATCTTCAATTCTTCAATTTCAAATCGGCAATATCTTAATAGCCACCCTTTCGATAGACGAAGAAAGAAGCGAAAGGCATAAGGAAAGAAGTAGGCCGTGCAAATGAGGTAGCCTGCCGAGGTGCTCTGGAACTAAAAAATCCCAGTTGCTAATTGAAGAACAAACAGACTCAGTTCAACACAAGATTCTGCGTGAAAAATCGTGACGACAATGAAATTTGGTTTGACGACGTCATTTACAATACAGAATATTTGCATATCTTTCACTTTACAAAACAAAAATAGGTCATAGTTCATCCAAGTATAAAAATATTCTTCCAATTTTTACATTTTTCCCTTCATTTTTTAAAATGGAAAACAAAAATAAATATTAAAATATTAATTAATTTATCAAGAGTGACGAATGAATCTCTAATATTAATACATATGATTAGTCATTCAAATTAAATCATAATTTATATTCAATTTTGGAATATTTTTAAATTTTTTTTTACGAGATATATAAATATAAATGAAACATATAAACTACATTAGTATAATTTATCATATGTGTATGGATCATTAACAATAACAATTAACCCTACTTGAGAAGAATAAGATAATTAGTTTCACTTGGCAACTTTTCCAACTAACCGTTTTACAGCCGATTCATAATTAACGGTACTTTAATTTGCAAGCTCCCGATACAATTATCACCGTTATCGTTAAGTTTATTAAAACTATCTTACTATCTTACCAAGGCAAAACAAGAATCACTAATATTATTCTTAAAATAATCAAACAATCTTTTGCACAAATATCAGTTCTAGATACTAAAAACCATTGTCTATTACGTAATTTGAAATCCTGATAATCTTTCAAAATAAATGAAATAATAATCGATGAATTAAAAAAACAAATTAATTTGATTAATTTCTAATAATTGATCGATTTATTCCTAATCTCAAGAGTTCCTTAATTTTTAAAATCTTAAATTTTAAATCAAAATAAAAATAAAAAAATCGATAGATAAATTAAAAAAAAAAATTAAATCTTACCTTCAATTTTTTTTTCAATTAAGTTTTACCTTCATTCCTCGCTAATAATCCCAATAAGCTTTATAATTTTTTCACTTCATATAAAAAAAATTTATTTAATATTGATCACCTGGTTTTAGTAGTTTTAAAAAAATCTTCAATCACAATCGTTTTCAATTCACCGATATTTGTGAAAACTATTATCGGTTAACTTCCGCGTAAAATCGATCGATAAACGAGCCAAACCAACAATTTCCATTAAGATAACCGCGATCCGCAAGCGTGACGCAGCGAATGAAGCAAAAAAAAAAAAAAAAAAAATATTGTTTCGACCGGTTTCAAAACAGATTT